AAAATAAAAATAAAAGTGAAACGTTTTTACACAGCTCTGAATATTAGTGAGAATTAGGGAAGGTTCTTGGGAAATATTGGAATTTTATTTTTATGAATCATTTTTAATGTTTACTGCCTCAAGTTTTTTCAGCAATTTGTCAGTTAGCTAACCTTTAGCAAGACTGGACTAAAAATCCATTTCAGTTGTTTTTCATCTTGGTCATTGTTTAAACAAACCTTAGATGGTTTTATTTTATTTTTAACTGCCGTTCTCTTTGCAGTCTTTTAAGCTTACATAGCTAACTAGCTAATTATTAGTTAGTTTGTTCTATTGTTTGGTTGTTTCAGCTAATTGTGCTGTGGTTTGTTTTACTGCTGTGCGTCTCACTGGGTTTTTAGTCGTTATCTTAATGTTCTTCTAAACCGGCTTTTTTTCTTCTTAATGTTGTTCTTCTAAACCGGCTTTTTTTCTTCTTCTTCTGGACAAAATCCTCATGTTCGAAAAATTCAGTCGGACTAATATGTTTACATACATTCTTGGAGTCAGACATGTTCAGACTGCCATATTAAAATATTTGCTTGAACGTCATGTAAATGAACTGGGAGTCATAGTGAGAAACAAAAACAACACGTTCTCGTGCTTCATGTGTTTCCCCCTGTAGATGTCCTTCACTTTAATGAGCTCACCTAGCGCCTGTCTCCCTCTACAAATACAGACGCAAATAAAAATGCACACACACACACACACACACCACTCCTGGCTGCTGCTCATAATGAGATAAGATATTCATGCTGACAGAGTACTCCACACTCTCTCTCTCTCTCTCTCTCTGTCTCTCTCCCCCACATACACACATGGATGAGTAGTAATTGAAGAGTGATGAAAGCCCAAGTGTTTGTTTCAGCGTGGAGACAGTAAGATGGAGGATGTGAGTGGAGAGGCAGAGTGAGGTGCAGCTGCACGGCCTCAGCTGCCGGCCCAGGCTCCAGCTTGGCTTCTCGCACCAAATGCTCCTCTGTTGAGGACTGTCCAGACAAAAGGCGGCACACGGCCGCTCACAGGCCGCCCTGTAAACATCAGACACACACGCTGCAACAAAAGTGCTAAGCAGCTCGATGTGAGGGGAATTCCTAACTGATTTATCCGTCTCTTTAACACACACACACACACACTCACAGTGATTGTGATGTTTCCAAACAGGTGACTGATCTGACTGATGTGGTGCAAACATGCCAACAGTCAGGAGTTTGTTTGGCAGCTTGGAAAAAAAGACTGTGCTGCACATTTTAAACTTGATTGAACTGGAAAGAATGAAGATACTGACATGATTTGAACCCCGTGGCCCGGGTTTGACCCCTGTGCTCTGTGTCTTTTCTATATTGAATGTGGGGGTTGTTGTTTCTAGAACTAG